CCCCCGCATGCCGCGATGCCGAGCACAGGGAAACGTTCCGTCCTGAGCTTTGCAAGGCGTTGCTCGCCGCATGTCTGGGGCAAGACCCAGCGCAGCGGCTGAGGCCCCTTTGCGCTGAGCCCACCACCTGCCAACGGATCCCGCTCGGGGATCTTCGGACCCGGGTCAATCCAGACCCAGGTGCCAACGGATCCCGCTCGGGGATCTTCGGACCCGGGTCAATCCAGACCCAGGTCAGTCAGGCCCTGCAGGATCCTGCACCCCAAGCCTGGGTCAAAAGGAAACCCTGGCTCTGCAGGATCCTGCAACATCCTGCAAGATCTGGCGCTCTGACTGACCCCCGTGTGCATTGACCCCCGTCTCTTGAGCTCCGTTCTGCGCTGAACCCGATACCTGTAGGTCGGGCATGTCCTCCTACAGGCGGATCCTGATGAAGAATGAGAAAAATAAACAGAAACTGTCAAGAGTAGCGAAGAGTAGTCGAAACATCCTCCCCAGACTAGACTGTTTTTGATTATTCCTCCTGCATGAGCGGGCGAACCATCGTAAAAAAAGTGTTTCGTCGCCAGGGGCGCTGCCCCAGGGCGGCTGGAAAGTTTACACTTTGACGTGCCACAGTAAGGGTGTAAACTTTCCAGCCGCCCTGGGACAGGCGCCTCCGACAGCGAAGCAATTTCTTTCATACCGCTCTTCGCCCATTAACTGCAGAGGGACATGCCTTACTCAACGCCACTTCCCTGATCGAGGCAATTCCTCTGGGTACTTTGACGTGCCACAGTAAGGGTATCAACTTTCCAGCCGCCCTGGGACAGGCGACTCCGCTGGCCATCGCTCGGACGACCACTCCCTGTGCTTTTTTCGGTTTCGTGCGTGGGTGTTTCGCCAAGTGATCAAGAATGCTCCTCGATGGTCCTCGCCGAGGAAAAAACGCACACGTCCGAGCGATGCCAAGTACTTAACGCCACCTGCCCGCTGAGCCCCGCCCTCTCGACGGGGCCGCGGGCCTCTGCTTCAGGGCCGCCAGGGCGGCCCGCGGGTCCTTGACGACCGGGGCGGGCGGGGACTGGCAGAAGGCGCCTCCCGACGCGCCCAGGGGGGAGGGGGCGCGCGGCGAGTGGAGGCAGACAAGGCGCAAGGAGGAGGAGGAGGAGGAGGAGGCAGAGGACAGGGAGGAGAAGGAGGAGGAGGAGGAGGAGGAGGGAGGGAGAGGTGGAGATGAAGGTTGAGCTGGAGGAGGAGGAGGAGGAGGAGGAGGAGGAGGAGGACGAGGAGGAGGAGGACGAGGAGGAGGAGGAGGAGGAGGAGGAGGAGGAGGAGGAGGAGGAGGAGGATAGGGAGGAGGCGCAGGAGGAGGAGGAGGATGAGGAGGAATTATCATCTGATCTTTGTCCGCGCGACGTCAAAACAGGAGAAGACGACGACGACGACGACGACGGCGACGACGACGGCGACGACGACGACGAAGAATGTTTGTCTGCACTGCGGGGCTCGCATCGGGGCTCCAGACGCAAGATGCAGGGCCCGAGTGCGGGGGTGGAAAAGTTCGTCAGAGCCTGGCGCGTGCCCCGCGGCGGGCGCCAGGGGCCCGAGGCGCAAGAGGCAGGAGGAACTCGGGGGCGGCCAAGAGGGGGGCGTCCACGAGGGGGGGGCGCAAATCATGGCCGGCGGCATGTACGCGGCCCAGGGGGGGGGGGGCAGGGACGTAATGAAAAAAGAAAAGGCGCCATGAGATCTGGGGAAATATCTTGGCCCACGCCATGATATCCCCCCCCCTAGTCATCACCCCCCTTTTTGCCAACCCCCGAGGAACAGGAGCATGGAAAACCGACACCAACACCACCAGGGTTCACCAGCGGGAGGAGGCGGGGAGGGGCCCCCCTGGTGGTGTGGTCCCCCCTTTCGCTCGAGACGTCCCCTATCCCCAGCTCGGATGGGCATCGTGGACCTCCTCGCTGGAGGTGGCTCCCCTGGTGGTGCTGGCGTCGCTCCTCCTCCCCCCCCCCAGAGGAAGGGGCACCGCAGCCGCCGCCGACAACGCCGCCGACGGGCGGAAAACAAAACGCGAGCGGAGGGGGGGGCACCTCGCCGGCCGCGCGCGGCGGGCGCGGGAGCTCCCTCCCCTGACAAAACGAAGCCAGGACGAGGAAACACATTCGGGTGAGGATGCATCGAGAACACCTGAGATCGGCGGCTCTGAAGGATCTCCAGTCAGCCCGTATCAGAAGGATGCACGAGAAGGATGCAAGGGCCGTGGAAGGCCGTTTCGAAGCTTTTCGAGCGGGGCGCGGCAAGCGAAAGTGACAAAGGACGGACCGAGGAGGCAAGGATGCACGGGTACTCTTAGAAAAATCGCCCATCCGTCCTATGCGGATTGCCTGTATCGGGCGCCGCGGCCTTCTCGGAGCGTTCCGAAACGTTCCGAGGGCGTTCCGGAACGCTCTGGAACAGATTCATCCTCGCCCTGACCCCGTTCGATCCCCCATTCAGCCCCCCTCCAGCGGTGTGGAACGCCTCTGGAGATCGAGGAGGATCCACACGCAAACATTGGGCAGGGTTGGATCTTTCGATGCGGGCGTGTGCCCTCTGTCTCCGCCTCCGGGGGCAATCGTCGGGCAGCTGGGCCACCAAACATGTACCCGGGATGCAAGGCTGCCCTCAGGGAAGGGGTTGGGAGGTCGAGACCCCTGTGGACCCTAGGTTGAACAAAGAAGTCCATCGGAACTCCAGGGGGGGGGGTACTGCGGATCCAAGTCCAGCGCTGTTGATTCGAACATCATCGGAAGACTCCGCCCTCCTCCTCCTCCTCCTCCTCCTCCTCCTCCTGGGACGCTTCTGGGTGGTCTCGTCACCACCCACGGCGGGGCGCGGCCCGAGATCCGACCCACGATGGCTCCCTGGAGGGGCTCCTGGATCCGCTTCGGACGGATCCTGGGCGAAGGCGAAGCTTCAGGCAGAAAAGCGGCTTCCGGCCCCCGCTGGTCGGGGGCCCCAAGAGCCGCGCAGGAGAGCCCAGACTCGAATCGATAAGTCGAGTCTGCGATCGCAACTCATCGGATCGGCGGAAATCGGCAGCCAAGTCGGGAGGAGTCGAATCGGCTGACATCGGCGGAGCAGTCAGGCCTCATGGAGAACTCGGAGTCTGAACTCGGCATCCCACCTCGAATCGGATCGGAATCGGAAGCGGAGTCCATCGAGATCGCATCGAAGCGAATCGGAGGAATGGAAACGAGCCCTGGAGCCGCGTGGCGGCGGGCCCCCGTGCCTCCTCGCTCGCTCCCCCGCTTCTCCTCCTCCTCCTCCTCCTCCTCCTCCTCCTCCTCCTCTCTCCTCCCTCTCCTCCTCCTCCTCCTCCTCCTCCTCCTCCTCCTCCTCCTCCTCCTCCTCCTCCTCCTCTCCTCCTCCTGCTCCTCCCGACTCACCGCGCAGAGTGGTCACCACGCCGTGTGAGGCCCCCCCCCGAACATTCACGTGCGAGGTCCTGCTGGTTGCCTGTGCGCGGTCGCTGAAGTCCTGGCTCGTTCCCCGGCGTCGATCATTCATCTCGTGCCGTTTTTTTGGCTTGGTTCTCCTTGAATAAAAATGCCCAGGGCGTTGTTTTTGTTTTACAGTGGTTAACGCGGCGTCTTGGAAATCATGCGTTTAACGCTTTGTGGTCCCAGCAAGAGAACTTAAAACGCTCAAACAAGCGGCTCATCTTAGCGTTATCAGGTGCGTTTTTTGAGCGTGTTCAGACCTGCTGGTTGTATTGTTGAACATTGCCGTCGACGACGTCCTCTGTTCCTGTTCCTCGCGTGCATTCCTCAGCCCTTCGCTCTCTCAGTTCGACTGCCTGCTGTCCTCGGAAGTCATCCTGGGGCGTGGGGCCTCCGGGCCCGATGGCCGACTGCCCCTCCTGGGGCCCATCGGGCCTCCAGGCCTGTGTCGGGCCAGTGTCAGACCAGTGTTAAAGCGTTGATTTGCGCTCTCGACTCTGCGAGGGAGAAAAGCGGCAGAGACGTTACATGGGAGTGCAGACAGCAGGGAAGACAAGGAGCAGCCTTCGTCCAGGTAGCAAACATCGCAAAACAAAAACCCTGGCGAAGGACCCAACCATATGCAGTTGTAAATACCGGCGTTGCCCGTGTCGCCTTCGGGATATATCCTCATGAGGCCATGAAACATACGAAGGGTGTGCCGATGTGGGGCGGGGCCGCCATGTGTGCGCTGCCACTGGTGCTTTAGGCGGAACGTACTATGGGGTCGCAAAAATCTGAGGGCTGCGCCGCAGTGGGTCGGGGCTGCGACTGGGGCTTTCGGTGGAGCTCCCTATTGGGCAACGAAGCTCTCTACTAAGTGGGGGAAACGCATGCAAGCACAGCCGCTGGAGGAAAACCTCGAGAACGATGTTTTTGCAAGGGGTCCTAGGCGGTTTGCAAATTTTCGGGCCGTTCGAACGGGGCCCGGATTTTTTGTTGCGGCACAAGTCCGATGGGAATTGGCTACTGTCAGGTTGGCCGGTCAACTTTTCGGGTCGTCGCATGACCGAGCCCGTAAGCTTTTTCCGAGGAGGTCCTATGCCGTTTACTCATTTTCGGGTCAGTACAACGTCTGGAATGTAAAATTTTTCATTGGGAAGGGGAACCCGGTCCCGCGACCCCAGGCGGGGGTATAGGCTCTGCCCTTGCATTGTACTGGGCCCCTCCGGCCAAACGGGGCGTTGGGCTGCCCATCGGCGCGCCGACCCTGCCTTCCCGACATCGCCCCCATCCGCCCTCTGGCCCCGCGAGTCTTCTCCTGCGCGCGCCACCCCAGATGGCCGCGGCGAGCACGGTGGCGAAATTGGGGAAACTTTCGGATCGGCGCAGTATGCCGATTACAAAAAAACGCATCGCCAGCGGCACCTCGAGCTGTCTGACCGATCACGGGGCGCCTGCACGCCTCGCGCAGAGCATAATTATTTGGGCGCCTGCCGTTGGAGAGCTGTGGCCAAGAAGTCTGTGCTCCTCCGGTCTTTCCTCCCGCGCCGTCTCCTGACGGCCCCGAGGCCCCAGAAGGGCCTCCTCCTCCTCTTCTTCCTCCTCCTCTTCCTCCTCCTCCTCCTCCTCCTCCTCCTCCTCCCTCCCTCCCTCCCTCCCTCCCACCCTCCCCTCCCCTACCCCCCCCTCCCCTTCCCTCCCCTCCCCTCCCCCCTCCCCTCCCTCCTCCCTCCCGCTCTCTCTCCCCCCCCTGCCCTCCCTCCCGCCCGCCCTCCCTCCCGCCCGCCCGCCAGCCCGCCCGCCCGCCCGCCCAGCCCGCCCGCCCGCCCGCTCTCCCCGCCCCCCCGCCCTCCCTCCCTCCCTCCCTCCCTCCCTCCCTCCCCCTCCCCCTCCTCCTCCTCCTCCTCCTCCTCCTCCTCCTCCTCCTCCTCCTCTCGTCCCCTCCTCCTCCTCCTCCACCTCCTCCACCTCCTCTCCTCCTCCTCCTCCTCCCCTCCTCCTCCTCCTCCTCCTCCCGCCTCCTCCTCCGCCTCCGCCTCCGCCTCCCTCCCGCCTCCGCCTCCGCCTCCGCCTCCGCTCCGCCCCGCCTCCGCCTCCCCTCCGCCTCCCACCGCCTCCGCCCTCCGCCTCCTCCGCCTCCGCCTCCGCCTCCGCCTCCCTCCGCCTCCGCCTCCGCCTCCGCCTCCTCCTCCTCCTCCTCCTCCTCCTCCTCCTCCTGCCCTCCTCCTCCTCCGCCTCCGCCGCGCCTCCTCCGCCTCCGCCTCCGCCTCCGCCTCCGCCTCCGCCTCCGCCTCCGCCTCCGCCTCCGGCTTCCGCCTCCGCCTCCGCCTCCGCCTCCTCCTCCTCCTCCTCCTCCTCCTCCTCCTCCTCCTCCTCCTCCTCCTCCTTCCCCCCTCCCCGGGAGGCCGGGATTCGCGAGAAGCCTCCCGTCGCGCTCTGTTTTCGCAGGGCGCGAGGGGGGGGCCCGGGGCGCGCGCGCGCGGGCGGCCCCGCCCCCTCCGAGGCACAGCATCCCGCGGCCGCCGTGCACCTCCCGGCGGAGGGCGGCCTCCCGCGGCGGCGCGGAGGGGAGGAGGCCGCGGCTGGCGGCGCGCACGGGGGGTGAGCTTCGGAGCACGCCCCTGCCTCTGAGTGCGGGCAGTACTTATATCCAGATCCAGAGCGTCGTGGACTTTTTGGGCAGAGGTGCCGCAACGCCGTAGGCGCACTGGATATGGATAAAATCAACGCCTCTTGGGGCCAGATTTTTATCCATATCCAGTGCGTCTACGGCTTCTGGGGAAGAGAGCCCAAGAATCCAAGACGCACCGGATGTGGATATAACTCTTGCCCGCAGCTGAGGAGGCACCAGCCCTGCCTCTGCGGAGGAGGACCGCGCCTTCTCAGGAGCAGAGGAGCGCTTCGGAGAAGCCTTCCCCCCTCCCCCATTGCCCTTGCCCCTCCCTTCTGCGCGTGGCCGGAGGGGGGGTGGGGGTGGGGCGGGGGGGGGGGGCAGGTGCGAAGGAGCTCCGAGCGGAGGGGTGCAGCCCTCCCTCTCCACCTCCACCTCCTCCTGCGTGCCTCCCCCTTGAGCAGAGACAGACCGTCCCGGCATTCCTATGTGCCTACCACGACGAGTTCTCGGAAGCCGAAAGTGTTCAAATAACAAAAACATTGGTCGTATAACATAAACCCGATGCGTTGAAACAAGACAGCCCCGGCAAGACATGCTCTAAGAGCATTTCGTGCAGACCACAAAAGGTTCTTAGACCATTCTTTGGAAGGCCTATAGGCATGCCAGGACGCTTCGCCACTGCTTGAACACCTGCCTCACTCCACCTCCTCCTCTGAGGAGGAAAGGAGGTGGGCGGTGGGAGGAAGATGACGCTCCAGGCCAGTGCCCAGTGCACAGCCCGGAGAAGCAGAGGTCGGGGTGGCGCAAGACTCGGGTCCGGGGCTCGGGCTGGCATGACGGGGCCGTCAGGAGAATGACGAGGTCCAGCCTGAAGTCTGACGCGCACTCCCGATGCAAACATCTCATGAAAATTGGGCCGTCAAAATCCAGGACGAGCCCGCCCAAGAACATCGGCAGACCCGAGTTCTGGCGAACCCGAGTCTTGCGTTTCCCCGAAGAGGAAGCGACAAGTGCAAGGAGGTTTAGAGCTGAGGAAGGGGGGAGAGGAGGAAGAGGAGGGAGGGGGAAGGTATCGCTTCCGCGCTGGCCCCGCTGCTGGAAGCGTTATCCGCAGCCCGCGAGGCCACGTTACCATTTAAACTACAACTGGTTCGCGCTCCCGAGATCTCCCGAAGCTACAATTTCAGACAAATTACCACGGCGTCGCGCTCCCGAAGCAACAATCCGTATACGACACAACGATGTTGTCCCAACGATACCACAATAAGTTATCTGTGCTTCTGAGCACTCGCTTCTGAAGTGTCCCTTATACATTACAAAGCGTTGCGCTCTGGAAGCCGAACTCCTCGTATAATATGACGAGCTGTTGCGTCTTCGAAGCCACAACGCCTAGTACCTCACGCTGCGTTTGCGCTCCCGCAGCCACCATCTCCGGTGAATTGCCGCTCCATTTCGCGATCCCGAGGCAACAGCCCCGGGTTCATTACTGCATAGACGCCACAACTCCCCATGAAGTACAACTCGTTCGCGCTGCCGATGCCACAATCCCTGGCTGGTAAATTGCAACTCGCTCGCGCTCCCGAAGCTGCAGTCTACGGTAACTCGCAGCTCCTTCGCGCACCCAGGGCCACGGCCACCCCACGGAGGCGGCCACCCCACGGAGGCTGCCCGAAAGCGCCACGAGCCGAACCGCTGCCATTCCCACGGGATATATATATATATATATATGCAACCGCACCAGCGCAGTCAGCCTCAGGCCGGGCACGTCCTCCGGCAGGCGGCTCTCGAAAGAAGCACACAAATACGACAGAACTGATCAAGACGGTCAAGCACACACTCGAAGTATCGTCAAGATGGTCAAGATGGTCAAGATGGTCAAGATGGTCAACACTGATCAAGATGGTCAAGATGGTCAAGCACACACTCGAAACATCGTCCCCAGACCACTCTTTACAACGTTGCCTTGGAACACTCCTCCCGTCGAGGGGCGTGCCCGACTGCTCGCTGGCCCTGCGAGCAGTCAATGAAAGGGGCCCTGGGACACAAACAAATGCAAACAAATAACAGGATTCCCCATCTCTTCCCAGATCTTATGGGCTTTTGTCGCCCACCCCCCACTTCTCGTATTTTCCCATCTCTTTCTGGGGAATCGACGATGAATTGTGTCTGTGTGTTTTTCCCTCCTGAGTCAGGGGGGGGGGGGGGGGAAGTCAAGGCCTGCCGGGCCTGCTCTCCACCACCACCGCCAGCCGAAGTGGGAGGGGGGAGGAGGGAAGAGGAGGAGGAGAGGAGGAGGAGGAGGAGGAGGAGGAGGAAGAGGAGGAGGAGGAGGAGGAGAGGGAGGAGGAGGAGGAGGACAAGCTAGGTGCGCTCGCGTCATATCTGACATCCTACCCCTCCCTCCCATCCCTTACCATGGCGTAGACCCCCTCTCTACTCGCACAGTCGGATGTCGAGCAGGACAATGATCCCGAAAGGGTACGCGATGCATTGTAGAGCACGGCATGGCATGGCGTAGAAGAGCACCACAAAGCGTAGTATGTCACAGCATGGCGTGGCGTGGCGTAGTGAAGAATTGCATCACAAAGCTTTGCAACGCAAAGCATGGCATCGCACAGCGGCCCCGAACATAACATTGCATAGCATGGCGTTGAAGATCAAAGCGTAGCATGGCATAGCACGACGTGGCACTTAAGCACTGCATATCACAGCTTCAGCTGAAGGCATGGCATCGCGCAGCGGAACGCAACCTAGCATTGCATTGCATGCCGTGGCATGGCACGGGAAATGACGCCAGCGCTGCAGCGGGAGCACGATTCGGAACGAGCGGAAGCGCGGAAATGAGGCCAGCGCTGCAGCGGGAGCACGATTCGGAACGAGCGGAAGCACGGAAATGAGGCCAGCGCTGCAGCGGGAGCACGATTCGGAACGAGCGGGGCCCGAAAATGAGGCCGGCGCCTCAGCGAGAACAGCATTTTGAAAAAATGCAGGCGAAAACCCAACTCCGGGGAATCCTGTGTAAAAACACAGTACGCGGGGGGGGGGCGAACACTCCCAACCCGTCATCAGGGGAAGGAGGAGAGTAGTATTCAAATAAAATAATTGTTGAACAATTGTGGAGGATCAGGAGGAGGAGGAGGAGGAGGAGGAGGAGGAGGAGGGAGGAGGAGGAGGAGGAGGAGGAGAGAGGAGGGGGGGAGGGAGGAGAAAAGAGGAGGAGGAGGAGGAGGAGGAGGAGGAGGAGGAGAGGAGGAAGAGGAGGGATGAGGAGGAGGGAGGAGGAGGAGGAGGAGGAGGAGGAGGAGGAGGAGAGAGGAGGAGGAGGGAGGAGGGAGGAGGAGGAGGAGGAGGAGGAGGAGGAGGAGGAGGAGGGGTGAGGGGGAGGGGAAGGAGGAGGAGGAGGAGGAGGAGAGGAGGAGGAAGAGGAGGAGGAGGAGGAGGAGGAGATGTGGGGAGGGAGGGGGAGGAGAAGGATGAGGAGGAGGAGGTGGAGGACGAGGACAAGGAGGAGGAGGAGGAGAGGAGGACGAGGACAAGGAGGAGGAGGAGAGGAGGACGGCCCCCTCCCCCTGCAACTTATGGTGGTGGTGGTGGTGGAAAACATGCCCAGCAGTGCTGGTTGTTTCCTGGGGTTGTCTTCGCGCCCCCGGGGGGGACCCAGACCCAGACGCGAGGCCGACGATCTCGAGGAGCAACAAAAAAGACTGCGTGGACATGAAACACTTCTGGAGGTCAGCCCAGGTTTTTTCGGATCGGCACTGTAGTCCCTTGGCGGCACCTGCAGTGCCGCCCCTGGAGCGGTCCAGTCGTCAGGGTGGGGGGTCCGGCGCCGATCCAAGAAACCAGCGAGAACCTCCGAAAACTTATGTGTATGCCGTTCGCGCTCGCTGAAACAAGCCTGAACTTCCTCCTCCTCCCCCTCCCCCTCCCCCTCCCCCTCTTCCTCCTCCTCCTCCTCCTCCTCCTCCTCCTCCTCCTCCTCCTCCTCCGCCTCAGTCTCCGCCTCGGCCTCCGCCTCCGCCTCCGCCTCCCGCCTCCGCCTCCTCCTCCTCCTCCTCCCTCCTCCCTCCTCCTCCTCCTCCTCTTCCCCCTCCTCCTCCTCCTCCTCCTCCTCCTCCTCCTCCTCCTCCTCCTCCTCCTCCTCCTCCTCCCCCGTCTGGACTTGAACGATGCCCTCACCGCTTCCACGAGCGAGCAAGATCTGCCAGGTCCCCCCGATCCCACAAATCGGCGAGGACCCCCGGGAAGTCCCGCTCGTGCCCCCTCTCCGTTCCTCGACGATCCCCCGCGGCGGCCCTGCTCGCGCGGGGCGCCTCGCTGCCGTCGACGGTGCTGCCGCCGCGGCGGACCGCGCCGTGCTGGGCGGAGTCGGCGACGATCTGCCCGCCGACGAAGAGGCGCGCGGAGCCCCTGCCGGCCTTGCGGCAGCTTCCACCGCCGCCCTCGCCCCAGCCGCCGCCGTCGCCGCCGCCGCAGCTGCCGCCGCCGCCGTCGCCGCCGCCGCCGTAGTCGTCGTCGTCGTCCTCGGCATGGTCGTCATCGTCGTCGTCGTCGTCGTCGTCGTCGTCGTCGCCGTTGTCGTCGTCGTCGAAGTCGTCGTCGTCGTCGTCGTCGTCGTCGTCGTCGTCGTCGTCGTCGTCGTCGTCGTCGTCGCCTTCGTCGTCGTCGTCGTCGTCATCGCACTCGTCGGCGTGGCGGTCTTCGTCGTGATTCTCGCCGTCGTCGCAGTCGTCGTCGAAAGCATTGGCCTCGTAGCCGATCGAGGAAGGAGATGGGGGAGGAGGAGGAGGAGGAGGAGGAGGAGGACGAGGAGGATGAGGAGGTGGAGGAGGAAGAGGAGGAAGAGGAGGAGGAGGTGGAGGAGGAGAAGAAGCGGGCCGCGAAGCGCGGTCGTGCCCCCAGTTCGTCCTAAGCCGAGAAGGCCAGCTCAGAAGACGGACTTCCACATGCTGCCGTCGAAGAGGGCGCCGAAGGAGACCTCCGCCGTGTTCCCGCACGATGTTTCCGAACGGCTCCAAGGAGAGCTTCGCGCGCGGCCCAGCGCCATCGATGCGGACTCTGGCGATCGTTGTACCTGCACCGACGACCGTGCCAGTGCGCCCCGCGTACTGGCACCCCACGATGCGGACGCGATCGCACTTCTGCCTGGGGAGCCCCACGCTTCCCGCAGCGAATGCCGCAGGAGCCGCCGCCCGCCGCAGTCCATCGGCCCAGGCGTCGTCGAGCAGGTCCTCACCGCCCTGCGCATCCTGCTCCACCTTGGCCGCGTCGGAAGGGGCCAGCAAGCCCCCGCGGTGCTGCGGCGCCATGGAGTGGCGTCGGGCCGCCATGGCCCGTGCTGTTGACCTTGCCCTGCGCCGCGCCGCCCATCGCAACACGTACCACTCCTTCCTCCTCGTCCTCCTCGTCGCACTCCATCGCCGCCGCCAGCGTCGCCACTCCCGCACCCGACCGCCCACCTCACCCACGCGGACGGCGCCGCCGCCGAGAGGCAGCAGCGGGCGATGCCGCTGCCCTGGAAGGCGCGGCGGGGGGCGGGCGGCGCCGCAAGCACAGCGACGGCCGACCTCAGGAGGCCCCCGGTGGCTCGCGCGGGGCGCTGCGCCTCGCGATGCCCGCCCGTCAGCCCAGCAGCAGCATGCGTCGCCAGGAGTGCCCCGCGGAGGACGTCCTGCGACACGCGCGCGCAGCGGGCGATCTGCGTACCAGGCATCAGAGCGACGGCGGCGGGCCTGCGGCGACGATCTTGAGCCGGTATGGTACTGGAGGAGGAGGAGGAGGAGGAGGAGGAGGAGGAGGAGGAGGAGGAGGAGCAGGGGGAGAGAGGTTGGGACGCGTTTGCCATCCTGTGGGGCCTTCAGGGATTGCCGTCGTCGTCCTCGCCGTGCGCGGCGCTCTCACACACAGCACGGAGCGCGGGGCCCCCATCGGCGATCGCCCGCCCCGAGAGAGACTCAAGCAAAACGCTGCATAACAAAACATCTGCACCAAAGGGCCCCTCTCAAACCGAAGCAAAACAAAACATCAGCAATCAAACAGAACAAAACAAAACACGACAAAACAGAACAAACCAAAACAAAACACGACAAACCACACATCTGGACATTGGACCACGGCAAAGGCAGGGCCCAGAAATTGGCGCCATGACGCAACATCAGGATACGTGCAACAGGCCAGACGGGCGTATGATCACGACGAGGAGCAGCAGCAAGAGGGGCAGTGGCCGAGAGAGCGGCAGCACGCGCGGCAGAATGTGAAAGCGATATATAAAGAAAGAGGGAGAGAGAGAGAGAGAGAGACGACGACGACGAGAAAGAGAGAGAGACCAACAAAAAACAAATAAACAGAGAAAGAGAGAGAGAGAGAGAAAGAGAGAGAGAGGGGAAATAGCTTGAGGAACTTGTGAGACATGTCCAGGCATGCCTTGAGACGTACGGAGAAGACACGCGGAGAGAGAGACTGGAGATCGGCCCCTGGCACAGGCCCGAGAGGAGCTCGAGGGGCCACTGTGCGCGAGGAACCACGAGGCCCCTGGCGATTGGGGGGGGCCCTCGCCCCCGATCGAGCAGCCAGGCATGAAAGACGCTGGTCCTGAGGGTCACGGGCCCCGAACCCCACGCACTGGATGCGGCTGCCCTCCTCCTCCTCCTCCTCCCATTCCTCCTCCTCCTCCTCCTCATCCTCCTCCTCCCATTCCTCCTCCCACTCCTCCTCGTCCTTCTGCTCCACCTCATCCTTCTCCTCCTCCCATTCCTCCCCCCATTCCTCCTTATCCTCCTTCTCCTCCGCCTCCTCCTCCTCCTCCTCCTCCTCCACCTCCTCCCTCCTCCTCCTCCCTCCTCCTCCTCCTCCTCCTCCTCCCTCCTCCTTCCTCCTCCTCCTCCTCCTCCTCCTCCTCCTCCTCCTCCTCCTCCTCCTCCTCCTCCCTCCTCCTCCTCCTCCTCCTCCCTCCTCCTCCTCCTCCTCCTACTCCTCCTCCTCATCCTCCTCCTCCTCCACCTCCTCCTCCTTCCCCACCTCCTCCTCCCGGGGAAGAGGCCGTGGCTGTGGCCAGCGGGTCGTACTCGACAGGGTCTGGATTCGGACCTCAATGCTTCAAAGGCGGCAGGGATCGGCTGCGCTGGCTGCCGACTCGACCCGCTCGCGTGCGGTTCGCTACCCGGGGTCAGGCGACCATCCTGAGCTGGTTTTTGGACGGCCCCGAGGCCCTGGAAAACGGCCCCGTGCGCCGAAAAAACGGCAACAGAAAACGCCACGAGCCGGGACCCACTCCCCGAAGAACCTCTTCCCTTCACTGCGAGCGGGGTCCTTCGTCGGCTTGACTCGATCGTTCCCGACGGGCCCTCGCTCTCGGCCGGCGCGACGGGCCTCTTTGGACAGGCTGAAGCCGACCATCGTCCACTTGTCGAAGGGTACCGACGGCAGGGGCGCAAGGGAACACAGGGGAGGGTCGGAGCCCAGCACCATACAGGGCAGGTTTTAATACATCGGATGTTTTAATACATTGGATTTTAGTGCAGGATTAATTTACGAATAAATCATTGCATACATGCATCATTGTTTTTAATACTAAATTCCTTAATATTTATACATGATCCGCACGCGGAGCATGTATTAAAAACGGCACTGTAACCTGTTGTAGATGAGAGTCGCAGACACTCGCGCGGCGGAGAATGCATGGCAGCGGGCTGGCACAGGAATGGGAAGAGCAGTGCGAGCAATGCGCAGGCGACAGACAACGAAGCGAGGGAGGAGGACGAGGTGGAGCATGAGGGGGGATAATCAGTAGAGAGAGTGCGAGAGAGAGAGAGAGAACAAAAAAAGAAACAGAGAACGAGAGAGAGAGAGAGAGAGAGAAAGTACACGAGGAAGAGCAGTCCAGTGTGGAATGACGCAAAAGGGAAGAGCTGAGTATGAGGGCAGCAGAAAGGAGGAGCAGCAGAGAGTAGACGCGAGCAGCACGGATGAGGACGAGTGGCAGGAGAGAGGGAAAGGGGGAGGTCAGAGGAGAGAAGAGGAATATAATAAATCACGAGGATGATGGGATGAAGGAAGCAGGAGAAGGAGAAGGCAGCAGGATGAATTGTCAACACGACCTCACCGACGTCCTTAACCCTGCCTATATGTGTCGATCGTATCTCCCAGACAAGGAAGGATAATCACGTATTGTTGCAGAACGAGGAGGAAAGAGAAAACAATAATCACACGATAATGGGGCGATGCATTTCTTCCTGATGTTGCTGTCCAAAGACTGGGCCAGGGCGTACAGGGAAACGCCCGGTTTGCAATCGACGGTTCTCCCAGATGGAGAACTCCCGCGGCGACACCGGCAACGAGCCTTGGGCAAACCGGACAGGAGCTGCTGTCGGTCTTGGTTCCCATTCCTTCCGTCCCCATGTAGATCACACCAAGAGGGAAATGATGATTCGGCTACACGCAACTGCAACCCCAGGCAAGCGCCTCGAGTGACCGTTGCTGCGGGGCATCAGGGGGGGTTGCTGAGGGGCAAAATTCAAGCACGCAAGCCAGTCCAGGGACCAGTCGGCATCGAAATGGGAAATCGGATAGAATGGACATATGCGTCGGATCGGAAAGTATCGGCGTCGAGTTGGAATCGGATCCGCTGCACAAAGGTTGCACAACAGCGACAATAAACATCGGGCCGCTTCGGATCGTGAGACTACCATCGGCTACACGCAAGAGTGACCCTGGGTAAGAGTGACCTTGGGTGCGCGGCTTTTTGGAGGCTGCGGGGGGGGCCAAACCCAGACGCGCAAGACGCTGTTATCGCATCGCGTTCGGCGATCGGGGGTCCCAGTGGGCCCGCACCACAGGTCACTCTGGCGAAGGGGCACTCTCACGTGAAGTCGATACCAGAACTGAACCAGATCGGGCCAACTGACATCAAGATCGAATCGGACCGATCGGATCGAAGTAAAAACTTTAATCTGGCGGTTCAAAGATAGGGCCCAGTGGGATGGGGCTCTGAGATCTCAGGGCGTGGGGCCTCAAATGATGTACGTTCAACCTGGGATCTCTTCGTATCCTTTGGGAGGCGACGATACGGGCGAATAGTCCAGGGGCGGACATAACACGTACCCCTTCGGGAGCCTCGCCGAAGACATGGACCATCAACGCCATGTGCTGCCTCCCCTGGACTACAGTAAGAGCTCGACAACAAGAAACCTTCCACAAGAAGCCCAACCCTGAAACCCCAGGACGTCCATTGATTTTTGGTGTGGGGAAGTCACGCTCTCCACAGCAAAACCATCGAAGCCCAAGAAACCCAGGGCAGCCTGGAGGCAAGCAGGGTGTCCCTTGGCATGAGTTCCCTCCGTACGCGTGTGAGTTACCCCCTGCGCTACGCGTCTCCATCGTCGCCTCCGAACCTTGGGGCCCCGTCCCTCTGGGCCCCGTCTTGGAGCCGCCGCTGAGTGCCAGGGGGCCCACCTTGGGACCCCTGCGGGCACGCACCCGAGCTCGCCGGCGCTCGGACGTCCACGCCCCGTGCATGTTTCGATGTCGTGCGCTGATTTCGTCCGCAAGATGAGCCAATATGCTTCTCGATGGCCCTCGCTGCAAACAAAAACGCACACGTCCGAGCGATGCCAAGAGAAGGCCACTGTGGCAAAGAGGCTCCTCTGAGGAGCAGGAGGAAGAGGAGGACGAGGAGGAGGAAGAAGAGGACGAGGACGAGGAGGAGGAGGAGGAAGAGGAGGAGGAGGACAAGGACGAGGATGAGGAGGAAGAGGAGGAGGAGGACGAGGAGGAAAAGGAAGACCAGTGTGAACCCAAGAGTCATCAACGATGTTGGAGTAAACCCTCCCTCCAAACTCCCTCTTCATGGGCCCCTGCAACGGTTCATTCCATTGATGGAACCGCCTCGTTGGAAGACACCAGTTTGAAGACCCTGAAACATGCAAACATATTTTGAAAACGACCCGCCCTCAATCCGTGAACCTCTTGCAAATGTTTAAACGAATGCGCACTGCGCTAAGGCGAGAGCCACATTTCAAAAACCACCCGCCCTCCGTCTGTGAATATGTTTTCACTTTTTAAGCTTCAGGGTCATCGATGGTGAGGAAGTCTCAGGCCAAACGCCCGGCCCGCCTAAAAAAACTGGCATCGAGGTGCGAGAGGGAGAAGTTGTGTATGAAGAAAAGGAATGGAGGAGGAGAAGGAGGAGGAGGAGGAGGGGGAGGAGGAGAAGGAGAAGAATGACGAGGACGACGACGAGGACGAGGAGGAGGAAGAGGAGGAAGAGGAGGACAAAGAGGACAAGGATGAGGAGGAGGAGGAGGAGGAGGAGGGGTAGGAGGAGGAGGAGGAGGAGGAGGAGGAGGAGGAGGAGGAGGAGGGAGGAGGAGGAGAGGAGGAGGAGGGGAGGAGAAGGAGAAGGATGACGAGGACGACGACGAGGACGAGGAGGAGGAGGAGGAAGAGGAGGACAAGGAGGACAAGGAAGAGGGCTAGGAGGAGGAGGAGGAGGAGGAGGAGGAGGAGGAGGAGGAGGAGGAGGAGGAGGAGGGGGAGGAGGGGAACGACGTGCGGCCGATTCCCAGCCCCAGGGGCGCCCCCTTCTCCGGCGAGCACATCTGGTTGCAGGCGCTGCCCTGCGCAGTCCACGTCAGGCAGAGCTTCCCGTTGACGGTGCCCACCCTCCCGCCGTCGCGTGTGCGCCCGGGGGGCGCCGTCGCCGAGGCCGTCGTCGCGGTCAAGGTCGTCATCGCGGTCGAGGTCGTCGTCGAGGTCGTCGTCGTCGTCGTCGTTGTCGCCGTTGTCGCCGTCGTCGTCGAGATCGTCGTCTTCGGAAATGGAGGAGACGAGGCCGTCGTCGTCGGGGAGGAAGAGGAAGAAGATGAGGAGGGAGCGAGGAGGAGAAGGAACGATGCAGGATACAGGAATGGGGAGGCGAATGCATGATGAAGGAACGGGGAGGGGGAGGAAGGATGAAGGAGGGGAGGAGGATCAAAATTGGAAACCTTGGCTGCGCTCTGTGGGCGCATCGTCAGTGGCTCCTGGGCCCACCTCGTGGCCACTCCCGGTTCCGCCTAATAATTCCAACTAGGACGCGTCCGTGGACGGGTCCAGGAACAGATTTGGAACAATCTTCCAGGATTCCAAATGGAACCCACAGGAACCCACAGGAATCCTCTGGAACCCGTAGAAATCTTCAGGCACCCACAAATACCCTTGAGGAATCCTTCAGGAATCTCGGAATAACCCTCAAGCATGCTCAGAAATCTTTCAGGAGCTCTCGTGAATTCGCAGGAATCAGTCAGGAGGTCCAGAAAGGAACCTTTCAAGAATCGTCAGGAATCCACAGGACCCCGGAGAAATTCTGTAGACATCTCATGAAAATCTGCAGGGACCCTTCGATATCCTGAACCTGAAGGACCTTGATGAAGCCGTATGAATCCGCAGGAATCCCCTGGAATCGACCAAGATCCTCAAGCATTCACATGAATCCCCCTGCCCCCTTAAAGAACCTTCGAAACTGTCAGAGATCTGGAATCCTCGGGAATCCTGCCAGGATCCTCGGGAATCCTCCGGAAACTACTTAGTATCCTCAGGGATCCTGACGGACTCCCCAGGAATCCTGCGGCATCATCTGGAGTAGTCAACGACCTGTAGGAAGCCTCAGGAAACCTCGGGAATTCTCAGGACCCCACAAGAATCCCCAGGAATCCCTGAGGAATCCCTCAGGAATCAACAGGAATCCACCAATAAACATCAAAAACCGCAAGACTCCTCGGGAACCGGTGGGAATCCTTGAAGGAACCTTCAGGAATTCTCCAGGATCTTGCAGGACCCCTCAGGAACCCTCCATGAAGCGCAATGGAATCCCACGGGGCCCACTGGAATCGTCAATAATCCCGACGATTCCGTCAGGAAAATTTGAAGGAACCTCAACAATCTCTGAGGAATCCACCAGAATCCGGCAGGAATTCACCAAGATATTTAGACATCCATGGGGACCCTTAGGAATCCCACGGAATCCCTTTAGAATGCTCAGAATCCCTTAGAATCGTCAAGCCCATGCCAGTCCCCCCTCCGCGACGCGACGCGACGCTGTAGGGCCTCCTGGAGTCTTCGCAAATAACAGCAAGACTGTTCTGACCGATTCCCTTGTGCTGCTGGACGACGAAACGGTTTCAAGCGAGACGGACGTTCTCTCTGAAGTATTGCGACGGGCATCCGCGAGTAGCAACAATAATACTCTGAAGGACCCACTTAGGGTGCTAAATAGAAGGCCGTGCGTGCCGGCATCCGCGAGAAGCAGCAGAACTGCTCTGAAGGAGCCCCTTCTGTGGTGTTCCATCGAGAAGAAAGCTCAGGCGAGAACGCCCTTCCTGAGGCTCGGGCCCTGTCTGGCTAGGGCGCGATTCCTGAAGGCCTGGCCTGAGATCCACA